GACCGGCTTTAAAGGGTTAATTGAAGCATCATTCATGAAGACACCATGAAAACTTTTCCCTCTGATTAAAGATCGAGGCAACAAAAGGCAGCATGCTGCATATACATAAAGAACCAAAAGATTGGAAACAAATGAAAGATGAAATCTGTGTTTAACACACAGCGAACATGCATTTAAAAACCCTCAGGAGGTCGCCTCGACTGCTGCTGGCTCTGGATCAATGCAGGCTAATCTATAAGCCAGTGCACTCTTTACTCTGAGCTTTCTCTGCGTTCTCGGGTGATGTTGAATGGAGTAAAAGGTGACAACACGAGGTCTACAATGATCTCACCTGTCATGTTGCAGTATACCTGTGTGGGCCCCAGAGGACCACTCCCATCTGGATCGATGAAGTAGAAGCCCGACGAGCTGCCGCTCAGCTTGTAGGCCTCGCAGGAAGACTCGTAAATGGCTGCAAGATGCAGAGCGGGACAGAAATCAGTCATTCGTCCAAGAATCAGCCCACGCTCTGACGGCTCTCGATTGGATGAGTCGTGAATACACAAAACCTATCTAAATGTATGAACTCTGTGCTGTATTACAGAAGTGAATGATGTCCACGCTTTGGCTTTTTTCTTTATGCTAATTATGGCACCAACATGCTGAACCAATGTCCTCCACACCAACCGATTCACATCAAGGAGCATCGTAAACATCTTCACAGAGACACAGACGAACAGAGGCCTTTGTTTGTGGCAGTGACTGTCAGTTTAATGGGATGAAAGGACGACGACAGCGAACGAACGTTACTGTCTGCTGCTGGCTTCATAATAACTTCTATTATTTGATGAAAATAATTAAGTCAAGTCAGCCTATTTGTACGCCATGTTTTTCAAAAATAGAAGTCAATGTAACAAACGGAGATAAATGGCAGAGACATCACAAAGCATCCAAATACAGAAAAGCCAAAAAACTCAAGGAGAACAATTAAAACTACATGACAGCACAGGCCTTTGTGAGCTTCTCTAGATACCACAGGATCTGCTTTCAACAGCCTGATGAGGCGAAAGACTAACATGACAGCACGAACCTTTAGTTTAGACCCACGGCAGCGACGCAGTAGCTCATCCTGTTCATGCTCCATCATAACTCACTACCTCTAAAACAACAGACATGACCCCTATGGGCTCAAACTGCGCTCATAAATATTTTGTACTTGTAAATCAGACGATGTAGCTGTGAAATGAATTTTGTAACCTTGTGTGTTTGTAAAAAATATTCACAAACGTTATTTTTTGGACCATAAGGCGCACTGGATTATAAGCCCCGCTACAC